CTAGTCGACAATGAAAATAATCGTTAGTTGCAGCCCTAGTACACTACCTACTGAGCACCACAGCAGACAAAGTTAGCAACTAGCTGGTGAATACAGTGGATATTTAGTCGTTGGGACAGACCAAAACAGAGCTAAAAAGGATCATGAATATTAGACCTACATCCACCAGCTGGCCTGAAACAGGACTCCAAATGGATGATAATGTTGCTCCATGTCTGCTGGACGTGTTAATACGCAATTGTTTGGTGGCACTCCTTCATCATATCAACTTCAACGGTGACAATAATGTCAGTGTTGTGTTAACAACTTTTTTCCACTGCACCCAAGTTACAAAAGTAATAAGTTATTGTGGGTTTAACAAATAGTTAAATAAACAGTAAAAGTAGATTAATTAAATCTATAAATAGAAATGGAAGACTCTAAAGTAATTATAACAAAGTAAGTTTGATTAACACCAGCAAACATGAGTAGAAACTGATAACAATCATCTATCTTAGACCATTTTTACAGCAAACATTTTGACTTAAACAGCGGGAGAAGCACAAATGTGAATAATAGCAATAACGAAGAGTAAGACACATTAAAGTGTCGGCCATGTCAGAGAGCCATCATGCACAATATCTCGGTCCTCAAGCCGAATCAATTGCAGATTATTTATGACACCTGTGCTTTTCCTGCAACATGGGAAACAGATTAAACTGATTACACAGCTTCTACTACAGTGGACAAAATATTTTGTGACTAGATGGTTAGAACAACTGATTTTAATTCAATTGGCTTCAATGGCATGACATTTCACAATTACATTTAAAAGACAGTGAATGAGATCAACAACTCCAAAACATGTTTTAAACGACCTATTAGTTGATTTTGATTTTTTTTTTTTAAAAGCTTGCCACGTATCTATCAGAAAAGCTGATCAACTATGTGACTCCAACATGACGGTTATAATACATGAGAGGCAAAACACAGGCTAATCTACAGTGTGCAAAAATAAACAGAACACTGGCACTCACAAATAAATTTACTTTTAGTGGATATATTTCTTCCACACAGCTTTACTCAAACATGTACATTTCTGTTCATTTTTCCCCCACATTAAATTAGTAAATTATCTGTGAGTGCCAAAATTTGTTGCTCCACTATATACTGTTTAAGATTTTTGGAGGTCTGTGCGCTCCTTTTTCTCATCCTATTCTACAGCATGCCTATATGTCAAACAAATAAATCCAAATTGGAATAATGTACACAGACTCTGTTGCCATTATTTCACTGATATAAATTTGGTGAACTAAACAGAAACTTGAAACATCTCCCAGTATTAAGCAAGACGCAACACTACAAACTACAACCAAAAACTTGAATCAGTGGCTCACTTAAACTTAGGAGATAACTTTTCAGAGTCAGTTTTATTGGCAAAGTATTGGTACACACATACAAGGAAACTGACTACAGTTTTTTTATCGCTCTCAATGTACTAACACAAAAATAGGCATAAAACTATAACAAGGACAGTGAAGCTGGACAAAAGTAAAACATAGACTAAACATTTAACTACCATGTACAAATATAAAGATGCATAAAAAAGTATAATGCAAATTGTGCTGTAAAAAAAATAGTATGATTAATATAACAAGTTGCTTTGACAGAATAGTATATACAGCAAGCTAAAATTTATATTTGACAGTGATTATTATTTATATGTTTTACTGTGTTAGAAAAGCAGTTAATTTTTAAAAAAAAATAATAGTTCATATTCCTTTAGTCCATTAGGGTCCCCAGATCAAAAGAATCAAAGGGATATTTCATAAAAATTAATCCAACTTGTGAGTATTGTTTTAACAGGATAAAGTGGTGTTTTGTCGCAGAGCTAGATCAAATGAATGATTCATGATCGTGATCTTCATACTGGTTTGAATAAAAAAATATGACTGTATTTCCCAATCTTCGTTAAGTAACAGTTTTGTGTGAAAGGAATTAAAGGCCGGTTTTGTATAGACGCCTGTCCCAAATATAGGTCCATCAATTTCAGTGACTAAAGCAAATTTTAGCCTAAGCTATTAATTGAGATTTTATGGTAAGTAAAAAAATTTAAGGTACTTGTACTTCACTTGAGAGTTTCAGTTTAATGCTACTTCATACTTCTAGTTTATGAATAATGACGTATTAGGCTATAGGTTAAGCTACCCAGCAGTATACAGCCTATTATCATATAAAAAGCATTATATTGAATTACTAGTTATAAACAAGTGACAGCATATACATTACACTGAAACTGACTATTCTGCCTAATGAGTTTTATATTTAGTCCCTATATTTTGGTGTTTATATTTTTGTACTTAAACACAATTTAAATGCAATACTTTTACTTGTAACGTAGTATTTCTACACAATGGTATTGTTACTTTTACTTAAATAAAATATCAACAGACAGCCAGACAGTGAGTGCGATTACTGACAGTGTTAGTCGAGCTGATGCTTCATCCATCTCTATCATTTAGCTAGTGTTAGTGTTATCATTATGTCACCTCCTCACAGACGCTTTAATTACCTAACTGAGGTCCCGTTAGACAACACATGACCTCAAATTCAAAGAGAAAGTGCTTGTGTGTGCAGAAAGCTCATTTATATTTACTTATATTTGCTAACGTTAGCCAAGTGGGCATACAATGTGAAGCTAGCTTAGCTGTAGGCTAACGCTGCAGACCAAGGGCAGCTCAAAAAAGGCGTCATTTAATCCTCATAAAAGGTTTAAATGTGTAAGACACATATTTGTTCCTTACCTGGCCTTTTAACTTATAAACGTGCTTCACTCTCCGACGACAAGATGGAAAAAATAACACAAAATCAGTCAATATTAACAGACGAAGCTAAAATGTGACAAACGACGGTTGGGGTCATCGATCGTGCTTCCGGGTTATCTACGGTGCTGGGGGAGGCTCAAACATGATCAAAACGAAAAGCAAATAGCGATTCCATTCACCTCTTTCAGGAAGTAAAATAGTATATTTAATACTTGTGTCCTACAAACTATTGATTTTGATTTTATCAGTGGAACACTGAAAATTAACTGGTTAAAATCTTTCCATAACAATAAGAGCTTCTGGTATCATATCCCCAGAGAAATCTTCAAGAAACTTGGAGGCATAGATTTTTTATTAAAATGTGATTTCAATATTCAGAAACTTCCCGTTAAATTATCCCTGTTTCACCAGCAAGTCCTTTTATATTGGAAACTTTTGTACAATCATAATTTCACCCCGCACAACACGCAGATATGGAACAACAGATACATTACAGTTAAAAACAAGTCGTTGTATAACAAGGACTGGATGGATAAAGGTATTTGGTCTTTAATTCATTTGGTTGACGATGATGGTGTGTGACGACATATCAAAATTTTTGCCTTAAATATGATCTAGTTGTCAATCGTGATTCCTTTGCATCCATAATGAAATAAATAAATAAATAAATTTAATTCAAGGGATTGTTTCAAACTCGACTCACATCACTCCTAATTTTCCACATCTCCCAGTTGGAAGCTATGACTTTGAGAGTATTAAAATTCCTAGTAAAACAATTAGAAAGATGTTTGATGACATCACACACCCTTTATTGTCTTTTTGAAACTCCATCAAACAAAGTTTCTCCAAAGATATTATATATTCTTTGCGCTCTAAATACTTAAAATTTCCCTTAAATCCAAAAGCAAAAGAAATCCATTTTAAAATTTTAAATGATGTGTATCCGTCTGGTGAACTATTACGTCAGAGAATTGGTTTTGAAACAAATAAATGTGTGTTTTGTGATGATATTGAAACCTCTGATCATTTATCTTTTCAATGTATGCTATGTATGCAAAGTATACATGACTGGCTGCACACAAAGATCCGACTCGAACCCTTTTCTCAAAAGGACATTATTTATGGTGTTGTTATGAACAGCACAAATGTGAAACCTAGATTTAATGTGTTTCATAACGAGTTTCTTTCCTTAACCAAAGCCCTTAACATAATAAAAGGTAAAAATGCAATGAAACTTTTCAGTTTATTTGAAAAATATGATCTACGACAAAAGCCCTAGCTCACTTTTTATTTTACTTTATTTATTTCATGGATATTTTATTTTCTCATGCAGATTTTCTCTTTTGCATTCTTCCTATGTACCTGCTCCTTTAAAATGTAAAAAATACGTAAGCCATGTTATTTGTAAATGTTTTTTTTTAAATAAAGTAAAAAAATTAAAATTAATACTTGTGTTATCAATACGCGGAGGACAGTTTGTGGTACTGTGAGCGCCAACTTTTTTTTTTTTTTTTTTTACTTCTCTCCTTATTGAATTATTGTATCCTTACGTATCCGGGCAGTAAAAATAAAATAAAACTATTTATAAGTTAAATAAATTAAAGTGCATTAACTGTAAATGATTTAAGAAAAACAATAACTAACAATAACATAGAAATTGTATTCCATTTAAATGAGTACCTGAAGTTCTAGTCGGCTTAATTTGCACAATCTTACTCATCCTAGGAGCTTACTTATTTATTTATTTATTTATTTATTTTATTTTATCATGTTTTTATTTATTTATCTATTTCTTTATTTTGCAGATTTTAAACTACTATATTTCGGGGATTTACAATTTAAACCTAATAAGCAACTTAACTGTAAGCATTTAAAACAAAACAAAAAAGCTATGACTGTTTTAGTCGAGATAAACTTTTTCTTTGCCACACTTCATCAGATTTAAATTGTGTTGTTGTGATGTTCTTGTTTGCTGTTACCCTGTTTGTAAGTGTTACTTGTTTTTGTATGTTTCCTTGTGTGCAGCATGTGGAAGCAAAATTCTCTGTAGAGAACAACAAAGAATAAATCTTCATCTGAATCTGTGGTATTTTGGTGTACTAATCTAGACAACAGCACAGTGTGTAAGTTGAAACCCTCTGAGCCTGTGAGCAAGACAACAATCTGTGGGCTCCTCCTACTCCAGGGAACATAAGGTCACTTGCTTCCCAGATCATTTCCTCAGTTTTCACTAAGTCTGTATCCAGCTCTCCTCCAAGTCAAAGTCAACATGTTTTTCTCTGCCTTGTTTTCAGCAACCACCTGGACTTTGCTTGCTCTGTTTTTCACCCTGCTGTTACTGTGAGTAGTTTAACACAGTTTTCACCACTGTTTTGTTAATTCTGAGGCGCATATTCTGCCCTGCCATAACGATTGTTTACTAAGCTGTTGCAATATTTAATATCACTCTTTATTTTTTACATTTTAGGTATGGCATTTGGCCATATAGGTTTTTCAAAAAGCTGGGAATATCTGGGCCAACACCCCTTCCTTTCATAGGAACACTGCTAAACTTCAAAAAGGTAGTAACACACATGAACAAACAGACCCTACAGACTGTTACGTAAGGAATTGATTGATGCGAGGACTGAGAGTGAGCAAAGAGGGCGTTTATACTGTCCGTATGTGAAACCTATGGGCACTCACTGCGTGACTTATCTGTTATCTTTTAACATTTAAACAATTCCCCACAGGGATTTCTTCGTTTTGACCGTGAATGCCAAGCCAAGTATGGGGACGTGTGGGGGTGAGATGTTGCTTCATTTTTCAAAGCAAACTACTACAAATAACATCAGTGGTGGAGGAAGTAGGCCAATCCTTTACTGAAGTAAAACACACAATAGGAGCGGGGCCCCCTTCGCATAATTCAGAGGGGTAAAGAGATGATGGGACAGGACAGAGGAAAATTCTGCCATGCAAATTTGTGTGTGTGTGTGTGTGTGTGTGTGTTGCTTTTTTTCTGTTAGCTTTTCTTAAACCCTGGATGACAGACTGTATACTGTAGCCTGGAGTATTGCAAGACTAGATCCTTAAAATGGACTAGATCTTATTTGTTGTTTATCTCTTCCTTAAAATGCATCTTTATTTTTCATAAATAATCACTTTAGGACCTTTTGTAACATAAAAATCAGTTATATCAGATTGTAGTAAAATATTACCTTGACAAGTGGGATATAAAAATGAAAACTGACCTTTTGAAATGACTATTTTTATGGCATTTTAGAGCATGTACATATAAGATAGATATTTATAAGATATTTCTTTCCCTGTAGGAATGGGCTGATCAAAATATGTTAAATTCTGTCTTAAAGCTCACGTGGATGCTTAATATTTACTCACAAGCTCATACTTTATACTGCCGTGTTGTTTTTGTGCAGGTTGTTTGATGGACGATTGCCGCTTTTAATGGTGGCGGACCCGGAGATTATTAAAACTGTGATGGTCAAGGAGTGCTACTCTGTGTTTACCAACCGCAGGGTGAGAGACTCATCTTCAATGACATCGTAACATTTTTAAAAAGTTCTTTTATTTAACCCATATTAAAACAGGTCAGTCCCGTTGAGATCAACAATCTGTTTTATAAGGGCGACCTGACCAAGACAGCTGCATACAGAAAGTTACAGACGAACAACAACACACTAAAAAACTTAAAAGATACACAGTAAAATGTAGAAATATTAGAGCACCTGTGTACAATGACAAGAACCATCTGATTCATTTGTCCTTGTACTTATGCAAGCTTTAAAATCAGGCAGAGAGACCAGTTTGCGCAGTTTCAACTCTTTTTGAAGGAACAGACAACAAAACTAAGTCTTGAGATCTCAGACTGTAGCTACAGTCAGACCTCTGTTCAATCAAAGTACAAATGTACAAAGAGATATTTCCCAGTATGGCATCATAAATGAACAACTGAGCCTTCGAAAGACGATTATCGACCTGAGGTTTTAAAGACAGGGAGTCAACAAGCCAAATACCAAAATATCTGTAACAAGTTCCAACCTTTAACTTCTTTCCCTGAGCAGTAATAACATCAGGTGTGTTCACAGGCTTCTTCCTGGCATTTGAGAAATGCATAACCTTAGTTTAATCAGCATTCAAAATCAGCTTTGGTTGTGAAAGCTGAATCTGAGTCACATTAGAGTCAGCCTGCAATTTGGCCACAGCGTCTGTGATGGATGAGCCGGCACAATGTATCACTGTGTCATCGGCATAAAGATGAAAATTGGCACCAACCAAATTTTGACAAAGACAGGTTGACATGTTGTCTAGTTTCTAGTAATTTATGTCTTTGTGTTTGCTATTTATCAAATTTCCTTGCAGTACTCTGCAGGGAAGGTGTGATATATTACAACGCAAAAATGGATAGATCCTTATGTCATGCCAGATGACTGAACGTTCATTGACTAATATGGTAGCAGATGAAATTTGTTGTTCAGTCTGAGAACTGACAAAACTTTAACACTCAGTTTACTCATGTCCACAGGACACTATTGAAGCAGGACCTTTGGCTGATTCAGTTTCAGCCGTTAAAGATGAAAGATGGAAAAGATTACGTAGCACTTTGTCACCGTGCTTCACCAGTGGACGATTGAAACAGGTCAGTTACGAGCTCACGAACCACTTCTGCAGTCTGCTTCCTTTGACCTAGTGCAGCGATACAAACTTATGTGTCTTCTATCTGTGTATGTCTACATATGTGTCTGTGGTCTGTATGTAGACCCTCTGTTGCCATTGATGATAGAAATAAATATGCATAGTACATAATCAATATTTAACAATTCTCCTTTATTGAAGGTTTTTCCCATTGTTGCTCGCTATGCAGACCGATTGGTTGAAAAACTTGGGCGAACAAATTTGGATGAACCCCTCAGTGTCAAACAGTATGTTGTTAATCTGTTATACACCAGCATATCGCCCATTCAGAACCCAATCATGTTCCAAGCACACACACACACAAAAATACATAAAGTGATGCTTTAAATCACAATGCATGTATACTTTGCATTTTGATCATCATCACGATTCAAAATTAATTTCTGAAGTATCTCCACAAAACAGTATGTTGAAACCCCTCTGAGATTAATATTCTGTGGAAATAATCAATAAGATGCATTATATGATGATGGTATAATTAGAAAATCAAATTAGAACAGTGTTTCCTTGTTTAAACAGTATTCTCCCTTTCCACTTTTTGGTGACACTCAGATCATCTGTCCATTTCAAAGGAGCGATATTTCTGAGAAAAAAAAGTAAAAGCTATAAATATTTCATATGATTCTTTGACATGTATAAGTAATAGAATGTCTCATGTTTGGTTTAAACACATTTTAAACACAAATTAATTACTGAAAAATAGGATTAATGGGTTAAAACATGCCTTGCTATTTTCCTTGCCTCACAGTCAGCCATGCTTGTTAACAAAGGGGGCGTAGCTCTACTCCAGTCCACTTTAGATGATGTGGAACACTGTGATTTACACTGTGGTTTATAGACGCCCCATCACATAAGTCTGGAGGCAGATTACAGTGATAACATTCTACAAAAGAAAAGTTATATCCGTTGTAATGGACGGGGGATCTGAACAAATAAAAAAAATGGTAGCACTTTATCTATGTTAGTTTCTAATGGAAAACCACCCATCTTTTTTCTAGACTGGTGGCGCCTTACAGTTTAGATGTTGTGACCAGCGCATCTTTCAGTGTTGAGGCAAACTCCATCAACGATCCAGATGACCCCTTCAATGTTCACATCAAGAACGTTATTAACTTAAGATTTTGGCTTTTCTTTGCAATAAGTACGTACTTCTTTGTTCTTCTGTTATAGCGAAGATCATTTAATTGTGTGAGGTTTTTTATTATCCCTAGCATACTAATTTTAATAAACAGCCCTTTGGTCTCCTTTCAGTGATGTTTCCATTTGGTGCCCGTCTGATGAAGCTGCTGGATATTGACATCATGCCCAGATCCAGTGTGGATTACCTCTACAACGTCATCAAGAAATTTAAAGATGAGCACCAAGGAGAAGAATCTGTAAACATGCCTTCCTAGTGAAAAAAGTTGCAGAAAATTAAAGGAACAGCTTGACATTTTGGGCTCATTTACTTTTTTGTCAAAAGTTAAATGAGAAGATCCATACCGCTCTCCAATGTGTGTTGAATGTTCTCTGTGCTGATCTAGGTGCAAGCTGACTTCCTGCAGGTGATGGTTCAGAACGAGATACCAGAAACGGACATAAAGAGCGAACACGACCAGCCAAGCAAAGGTGTGTTTGCTCCACAGTAGTCTTTTAACCTGCCTTTTATTAAGCGAATGATCATCAACAATAATAGCCTCTAACCAACAAATAAAGTTTTTTTTCTAGTTGAACTTTTAATTTGATTTTATTGCAGGTTTGACTGAGCGTGAGATCCTCGCCCAAGCCCTCATGTTTATCTTTGGTGGCTATGACACCACCAGCACCACTCTTACTAACATTCTTTACAATCTGGCCATCAACCCTGACGCATTGCAGAAGTTGCACGAAGAAATTGATGCCAACCTACCGAAAGATGTACAGTAACTGCTATTTGTGATAACCTTTTCGATAGCTGACATCATGTTTCATTCTAATCGTCATCTGTTGAACTTTGTATGTGATTCCTCCTGTATTTTTTCCCCTTTAGGCTCCCGTTTCATATGACGACGTGGTCGGTCTCGAGTACCTGGACCAGGTTATTTGTGAGTCACAGCGTTTGCTTCCCATTGCACCTCGCCTTGATAGGATGTGCAAGAAAACTGTCCAGGTACACGGCCTCACCATCCCTGAAGGAACCCTGGTTGGGATTCCTGTACAAATGTTACACATGGACCCACGCTTTTGGAGCTCACCTGAGCTTTTCAGGCCAGAGAGGTAAATGCACACTGCACTAAGCTGTCATTCTTTACATTTAAGCTGCAGTAGGTAGATTGATTTTGGTTTCATTGTGCAAAAATCTTATAATCAACATAAAGTGGACTGAGAGAAAACTAGACATCTGCACCTCCTCTTGACTCTGTTTTTAGAGCTTAAGAAAATCTAGTCCATGATGGGAGACTTTGGCCAATCACAGGTCATTTCAGAGAGAGGGCATTTAATTGGCAGCTGCACATGCATGCAGGTGCACATGCAACTGCCAACTGAAGGTCCATCTCCCTAGCTGCTGCCCACTCTACTTCAAGAAAGCAGTCTATGGTGGCAGGGAGTGAAGGCGGAGGGCCCGTGGGATGGCTTAGCTACCTAATTTTTGTCTCATTTGTGGTCTGATAAGCAGAGAGAGAGCAGACCTTTTATTGCTACTCCAGCTTTAATGATTTGTATCTGTGTGCCCATCTGTATGTGTAGGTTCAGTAAAGACAGTGGGGAGGAGGTGAACCCCTACACCTACATGCCGTTTGGGCTCGGCCCTCGTAACTGCATTGGGATGCGCTACGCTGTTCTCACCTTGAAGATGGTTATCATCCGTCTCCTGCAGAGTTACACTGTGGAAACATGCAAAGACACCGTGGTAAGAAATAGCACTCCACACACATTCATGTGCACTCATACTGTCACACTCTTCTGCTGTCATGTACCTGATTTTACATTTATTTCTTCCTTTAGATCCCGCTGGAGTTTGACTGGAAGTTCCAGCCGAACACGCCAATAAAACTCCAGTTTGTTCGCAGACAACAGTAGTCCAAAGGGAGCATCTCCAAATATACCTTGCTTTTGAATTCCTATAAACTTTGTACATTTTGTGTTTATACTATGAAACTCATACTCAGCACTTAGTTCAACACACCTTGAACATCTGATTGTTCTTGATGAATCAAATTCATTCATTAATTTTCCATCATTGCTTATCCTGTTGGCGGTCGCACAGTGGCTGCAGCCTATCCCAGCTGACAATGGGTGAGAGGCGGGGTTCACCCCGGACAGGTCCCCAGACTATCACAGGGCCGACACATAGAGACAGACAACCATTGACACTCACATTCACACCTATGGCCAATTTAGAGTCACTAATTAACCTGCATGTCTTTGGACTGTGGGAGAAAGCTGGAACACCCGGAGAAAACCCACGCTGACATTGGGGGGCGCGTGCAGGCTCTGAACAGAGAGGCTCCTCCTCCCTGGGTTCGAGCCAGGAATCTTCTAGCTGTGAGGCAACAATGCTATCCACTTCATCACTGTGCCACCCCCACTGTGCTGCCTTGTATCATAATGTAAAGAGCATTTTCTTATCTTTTGATAAGTTAAGTACTCACCTATTGTATTTCCTACAAGACTCATTTACAACTGAAACAAGAGACATTTTTGTAAGTGGCAGATTTAATCTCTTAAGTATTTTTAGATGTTTAAGACAAAACATAAACACCATAGAGAACACTGTGCGGGGGCACACCAGATAAGTATTCATGAGTCAACCTGTTAAATGTCCTTTTATTGGCCAGACTTTAACGGTGAAGCTGCGTCCATGTCTTCTGAAACAAAGACAGTGCATTTCTGAGGAATATTGCTCCTCCAGACCTTAGAGAAAAAGTCATCTTTTCCATTATAAAGATCTCCTTGATTATGTCCATCCATTGTTTAAGGCCTGAAGTGTCCGATTGGTACCAGTTCTTCGCAATCGCTTTCTTGCTGCCAATAAACAGTATTTTACACAAATACCAATATTTGTTGTGATTGTGATCTTTGTAGTGATGTGTGACACTGGAGTCCAGGGCAGGCCAACTTAATATTTTGTACAAGGCATTACTTGGAAAGCTACCCCTCTACCTCACTTCTCGATCAAAATCAAATCCATCTCTCATTACACAGACATGATTTTCTGCATATTACTGTTTTTACTGTTGTTGCTGTTATGTATCCGTCCTTTATGGCAGACTCAATTTAATTATTTAACTTTTTTGTCTTTTAACTGTTTTTTTTATTGCTGTTTATAATTCTTGATAGACATTGCTGCTACTTATTTGTTTTTATGGAGTTTTTGCATTACTTTATTGCAATTATATATTTGTATCCTTATAGCCCATTGAATGATAATTCAGGGCATTACTGTAAATGAGCCAAATGCTGAGTCCATTTTACCTGTGCTTCTAGTTTAGTTTTCCAAAAATGAAGTTCGTTAAACTGAACGAAATCCTCAGTAACATGAAACAAAAACCATCTAAGCTACTGCAGGGTTAGACAGTTAGCTTGCTCAGTAGGTTGGCTACACTACCAACTAAGCTTACCAAGTTTACCAAGCTTAGCAAGTTAGCTTGCTAACCACATAGGCTATGCCAGGGGTCTGCAACCTTTGCCATTAATAGAGCCATTTTTGACCAAAATTGATTTTTTAAAAATCTGTGTGGAGCCGCAAAACATGTTTCAGCCTTATAATCAAGGTAACATAGCCTATTATGTCTAAATAAGCATTTGTTAATATGTTTTACCACAAGGTGGACACTGTGCAGGGCACTATTTATGATTATTTGGTACTTAAATTTTGCAGAGCTGGCAGTGAGAGCAAACAAATCTGTCCACGCACTACTACATTCTCTATTTCATTCAATTTACTTTTTTGGATTTGGCATCCATAGCTAACCTGCCACTGCTATCCAGGTTTGGCAACATGTGGATTCATAGAATGAATTTCCATAGACTTCTTTTCTCAAAGGCTCAAGGAGCCACTGGACAGGGGCTAAAGAGCCACATGTGGCTCCGGAGCCACAGGTTGCCTACCCCTGGGCTATACTAATGAGTAAGCTTGCCAGTAGGCCAAAATATTGTTCACTAACTTTAAGAGTAAGGATAATGTTACACATTTTGATACATTTTCCCTTCCTTTTTAATTGCCTTTTTAAAACTATTTTTATTTGACAGTGTGGTCCTGGATCAACACAAACACTGCAATCTTGCAAAAAAAGTTTGTGATAGGCTGTAAAAAAGGAGGGGAAATGTGTTAATCGCAGGTATTTGCAACTGAAAAATGATAATACTCTTCGTTACTGAACAATATTCTAGTCTATTCTATAAGCTCACTTATTGGCATAGTCTTCCTAGTTAGCAAGCTAACTCGCTAATATTCCAGCCTATTGGCAAGCTTATTCGTTAGCATAGCCTTCTTAGTTAGCAAGCTAAGTCCCTAATATTCTAGCCTATTGGCAGGCTTATTCCATTAGCATAGCCTTCCTAGTTAGCAATCGAATTTGCTTATTTTCCAGCCTACTGGAAGGCATTTTCATTAGCATAGCCTTCCAAGTTAGCAAGCTAACTCTACAATATTCTAGCCTACTGGCAAGTTTACTTGCTAATATTCCAGCATATTGGCAGGTTTATTCCATTAGTATAGTTTTCCTGGTTAGCAATCTAACTCGCTTATTTTCCAGCCTACTGGCAGGCATTTTAATTAGCATAGCCTTCCAAGTTAGCAAACTAACTCATCAATATTCTAGCCTATTGGCAAATTGACACGTTAGTTTACTTGCTAATATTCCAGCCTATTGGCAGGCTTATTTGTTAGCATAGTCTTCCTAGTTACCAAGCTAACTCGCTAATATTCTAGCCTATTGGCAAGCTTACTTGTTATCATAGCCTTCCTAGTTAGCAAGCTAACTCGCCAATATTCTAGCCTATTGGCAAGCTTATTCGTTAGCATAGTCTTCCTAGTTAGCAAGCTAACTCACTAATATTCTAGCCTATTGGCAAGCTTAATCCATTAGCATAGCCTTCCAAGTTAGCAAGCTAACTCTCCAATTTTCTAGCCTATTGGCAAGTTGACTCATTAGTTTACGCGCTAATATTCCAGCCTATTGGCAAGCTTACTCGTTAGCATAGTCTTCCTAGTTAACAAGCTAGCTCGCTAATATTCTAGACCGTTGGTAAGCTTATTTGGTAGTATAGCCAGCCTACATGGCAAGCTAATGTTCTACCCCTGCAGTAGCCGATAAGGTTTTTGTTTAATGTTACTGGGGATTTTGTTCAGTTTTACAAACTTCATTTTGGAAAACTAGCTCTGAAGAAGCACAACAAACAATTTTGAAAGAAGCACAGGAGCAGCACACTGATGATGTCAGAGGGTTTTGATTGGTTGATTGCAATGTTGGTCCAGGAATGCCATGTGGGATGTTGATCCAGCAGCAGGTTGCACATACTAAAATAGCTGCCTTTCTTTATTTTTTTAAGAATAAATAATTTTTTTATATGCAAAATCCCTGTTTATTTCAAAGGTTTTCCATTACAATAGACTTTTTCAAGTACAAAGATGTTTTGTTTCTTCTGCTTTGAGAGAAATCAGATTAACTAGCCAAGCTGGAGCAGGCAGAGTGTTAATGGTCAAAGGCACCAGCTGGACAACTCCAACAGAAACACAACCTGTAGCTCCATCCAAGTAGATCATAATAACCAGCCGCCACTGGTCAATTCTGTGTAACAAAAACACCATAAATGTCCTCCTGAAGCTCCACTCTGTGGGCTCCTCCCACTGCTGTGCAGTTAAAGTCACTTGTTCCTCAACACATTTCCTCATTATCTATGTAGTACATATCCAGCTCTGGGCAAAGCCAAGATGTTTGTCTTTGCCTTGTTTTCAGCGACCACCTGGACTTTGCTGGCTCTCTTTATTTCCCTGCTGTTTCTGTGAGTAGTTTCTGTAACTGTCAAAGTAATACCAGGTTGTCAGTTCTGTAATTTTTTTTATGATTGCTCGTTAATCTCTTGCAATATGTAATGTTACTTTTTTTGTGTTTGTTTTGATTATAGGTATGGAATTTGGCCATATAGGTATTTCAAAAAACTGGGAATACCCGGACCAAGACCTCTGCCTTTTATTGGAACAAGTCTAAACTTCAAAAGGGTAAGGTACACGCAAAACTGTTATTTGGATTGCCCAGAGCAATATCAGCGCTAATCAACATTGGATGTATAAAGGACTTTACACCCTCCCATAAACAGTAGATGCAAGGTTTAGAAAGTGGGCAGAACATGGACTCACTCATTTACATCAACTCTCATGACAGCAGCCTTGAGTCATCTGAACAGTTAAGGGAGGACTATATGCTTCCTAATACAGACTTCTTTAGATATTTACAATTAAGGAATTTTCTAACAAAAAATAAGGAGTGGAATGAAGTTTTGAAGCCCACCCCAACAGATGAGGGCTAATGAAAAGGTCTATGGGTCGACCCTTAAATGGGATCAAGTACAACAATTTACTTCCTGACTTAAATCACTGACAATATGTGTTTACATGATACATGAATGAAATCACAAGTGCTGCTTATGTAAACGTGTGAGGTGAACTGCAGCCTGATGAGATAAGTCAGAATGCCTCACCAAAAATCAGAAGCTCCTGAATGAAAAGCCACAGTACAGAGAGAGCAAGACAATGACATGAGCAGAGAGGCGATAGCCAAATATCTGGCACAAAAAAAGTGAAGAAGCAGCAGTTATGACAGGCAGAGCTGAAGGTGAGAAGTGAGGCACAGTCGTTTTTAGCAAATAAAACCTGCTGTATCGGCTCAGTTTTAAAGCCACAGTGAAGACACTGGTATCATATCAAGGTAGAGGACCTCAGGCATCCATTGGTACCAACCATGTTATGCAATCTTGTCGAAGAGGGGGGCAAATAATGCTCCCGAGTTCCACTACATTTTGGCGAGGGAAAAGTAAATATTGTTATACATCCATTTTTGTAACCATTTATCCTCTTGAGGGTCATGGGGGGCTGGAGCCTATCCCAGCTGACATTGGGTGAGTGGCGGGGTACACCCTGGACAGGTCGCCAGACTATCACAGGGCTGACACATAGAGACAGACAACCATTCACACTCACATTCACACCTAAGGACAATTTAGAGTCACCAATTAACCTTTGGATTGTGAGAAGAAGCCAGGGTACCCAGAGAAAGCCCATGCTGAAAAAATCAGGAGAGTAGAGAATGGGGAGAACATGCAAAGTCCCCACTGAGGGGTTCACCCTGGGTTTGAACCAGGAACCCTCTCACTATGAAGCAACAGTGCTAACCACTGCACCACCATGGTGCTATTTCTTATAAATGGTGCAAACTGGGGTTCCTAAACAGTCTTGAAATTGGGTATGGGAGACTTGTATGACTTGTATGACATGTACTCTTTACACTATTTCAGTTCTGCACACAATTTGACTGATATTTAAACAAAGTAGCCTCAAGATTGATTTAGTAAATGATAAAAACATACATATTTGTTCACTCCTAATTTGATCTTAAGAGTTAATAACCTTGCAGTAATTTCCTCAATCAATGTTTGATTTCATTTTTCTCTAATCATTCATTGGAGGGTATTTTTGGCTCAGGACACACATGTGACTACTTCTGCTTTTCAAAATAGGAAAACAAGGACGTAACAGTCAATTCAAGTACAAGTAGATACAAAATACATGTGGAAATGTGATTAATTTGATTATATTTGCACATGAGGGGCCCCATTTTTGAAAATGTTGTCCCCCAGCTGCCCTGTGGTCCTCGTTATATGACTCATCATTTAAAGATTCAAGGTGTAGGAGGGAGGACGCTATATTTGCAGAAATGGTATAGAATATTCATAACTGTGTTTTCATTACTTTATAATCACCTAAAAAGAAAAATGGTTGTGTTTTTGTTACCTTTGAATGAGGGTTTATATCTACATACAGAGAGGGTCTCATCCACGCAGTCCGCCATTTTGTTTCTACAGTAGCCCACATTGAACAAACCAAACACTGGCTCTAGATAAGACCCATTTGTGGTTTCAAGTATTTGTGTCAGCCATCGTAGTTCTCCTACACGCTTGGCACATGGGGGAAGTTTTAGTTTAGTTTAGTTTAGTTTAGTTTTAGTGCCACTAAATCTTACACACTAGATCGTCAATGTCAATACCTGTTGGAAGCTCTGTGGTCCCTTTAACCTTTAACACTTCAACACATTTTTCTTGTAGGGACTTCTGTCTTTTGACCGTGAGTGCCGAGCCAAGTATGGGGACGTCTGGGGGTGAGTCTGTTGTTTCATCTTACTCACAACCACCACAGATGACATCAGTGTTGGAAGATGTACTAGGATCCTTTACTCAGAGGGGCCATGAGATGATTAATGTGATGAAAAAATGCAACAAAAGCTTGTACCTATTTATTTATTTTACTTTTTTCCAAATGTATACTGTAGCTTGAAGTATTTCAAGAGAGACTAGATTTTTGAAAACAGTCTCAAAGTTATTTGTTGTTTTTCTGCTCCTGAAGAGTTATCTTATTTTTTTGTAAATGTCATTTGTCATTTTTGGACTTTTTGTGAGATAAAAATCAATTATATCACATTTTATTGAAATATTACCTTGACAAGTAGGGTATAAAAATGAAGAAATTATCTTTTGGAATCATGACTGTTTTTTATGGCATTTTACAGCAAGCACATATCAGTAGATCATTTAAGTTTGTCAGCTGTGAATAGCCTGGTGTTTATTGTGAAAGGATACCTTGCTACAGAAAGATAAAGATATTGTTCTCTTTGTAGGATGGGCCAAAATTTTGATCGACATAACTTAATTCTGTCTTTAAGCTCACACTTTATGCTGCGATGTTGTTTTTGTGCAGGTTGTTTGATGCACGATCACCACTTTTGATGGTGTCAGACCCTGAGATGATTAAAACTGTGATGGTGAAGGAGTGCTACTCTGCATTTACCAACCGCAGGGTGAGAGACCCATCTTCAATGACACAATAACATTTGCAGCCAGCTTTCTATAAATTTATGTCACCGTGTTTGCTATAAATCAAATTACACAACTCTGGGACGCTCCATACAGCATTCTGGAGGGTAGGAGCAGCGTGTAACAAAACGTTTTCCTCCAATAATGTAAGAATAACAAAAGTGGAAAGATACTTATGGTATGGCAAATGACACAGACCGATATGAGAAAATAATGAAGGAAGCAAACTGCAAAACTCTTCTGTACACAATTTTAAACATTCAGTGTAACTGTTCTCGTGTCCACAGGAAAATATTGTGGGTGGACCTTTGGCCGATGGCATAACAGCCGTGAAGGATGAAAGATGGAAAAGAATACGGAGCACTTTATCACCGTGCTTCACCAGTGGACGACTGAAACAGGTCGGTTTTAAACTAACTAACCACTTCTGCAATCTGCTTCCTTTGACCTAGTGCAGCGAAACAAATACATTTATCTGTGTCTGCAGTGCATGTCTACATACACTCACCAGCCACTTTATTAGGTACACCTGTTCAACAGCTCGTTAAGGATGGTCTAAAAAAGAGAAAATATCCAGTGAGCAGCAGTTCTCTGGGTGAAAATGCCTTGTTGATGCCAGAGGTCAGAGGAGAATAGTCAGACTGCTTCAAGATGATAGAAAGGCAACAGGAAGTCAAATAACCACTGGTTACAACCAAGGTCTGCAGAAGACCATCTCTGAAGCAACAACACGTCCAACCTTGAAGCAGATGGGCTACAGCAGCAGAAGACCACACCAGGTGCCACTCCTGTCAGCTGAGCATGGTTTAAACACCACAGCCTACCTGAGTATTGTTGCTGACCGTGTCCATCCCTTTATGACCACAGTGTACCCAACTTCTGATGGCTACTTCCAGCAGGATAACGCACCATGTCACAAAGCTCACATCATCTCAAACTGGTTTCTTGAACATGACAATGAGTTCACTGTACTCCAATGGCCTCCACAGTCACCAGATCTCAGTCCAATAGAGCACCTTTGGGATGTGGTGGAACGGGAGATTCTCATCATGGATGTGCAGCCGACAAATCTGCAGCAACTGTGCGATGTCATCATGTCAATATGTACCAAAAACTGTGAGGAATGTTTCCAGCACCTTGTTGAATCTCTGAAGGCAAAAGGGGTCCAGCCCTGTACTAGCAAGGTGTGCCTAATAAAGTGGTTAGTGAGTGTAAATGTGTCTGAAGTCAGTTTATGTAGACCCACTACGAGAAGTTGCCATCAATGATAGAAATAAATATGTGTTGTACATTATCTACATTTAACAGTTTTTCTTTTTTGAAGGTTTTTCCCGTTGTCACTCGGTATGCAGACCGACTCATTGAAAAACTTGGACGAACAAATTTGGATGAACCCGTCGATATCAAACAGTAAGTTGTTAATTTGTAATATGACAGCATATAATAAAAAATGGTAGCACTTAATCCATGTCAGTTCCTAACAGAGAACCACCTTTTTCCCGTCTCTGCCGCAGATTCGTGGCACCTTATAGTTTAGATGTTGTGACCAGCGCATCTTTCAGTGTCGAGGCAAATGCCATAAACGATCCAGATGACCCCATTGTTGTTCATATCAAGAAGATTATGAACTTCAGTATTTGGCCTTTCCTTTTATTAAGTATGTTCTCCTTTCACTTATGGTATCAGTGGAGATCAGTACCTTGTGATCACTAGTATGCAAACTTTGGTAAACAACCTCTTGGTCTCCTTTCAGTGATGTTTCCCTTTGGTTCCCGTCTGTTGAAGCTGCTGGATATTGACTTCATGCCCAGACTCAGTGTGAATTACTTCTACAGCATCATCAAGAAGTTTAAAGATGAGCATTGTGCAGATGACTCTGTGAGCATCTCATCTGTTCCAAGTGGAAAAACAGTTTGACAGAATTAAAGGAACAGCTCAACATCTTAAGCTTATTCATCTTCTTGTCGAGAGTTAGATGAGAAAATCAAAACCATGCTCCAAAATGTGTTTTGAATGTTCTCTGTGCTGATCTAGGTGCGAGCTGACTTCCTGCAGGTGATGGTTCAGAACGAGATACCAGAAACAGACATAAAGAGCGAACACGACCAGCCAAGCAAAGGTGTGTTTGCACCACAGTAGTCTTTTAAACTGCCTTTTAATTAAGTGCATAATAATCTACAATAGTAGCCTCTAATGGCAACAGTAGGTTTAAATACAATTCTGAAATACACACCAAATAAGAAAGTAAACTTTAAACGTGATTTTGTTGCAGGTTTGACTGAGCACGAGATCCTTTCCCAGGCTTTCATTTTCATCTTTGGTGGCTATGAGACCACCAGCACCACTCTCACTTACATCCTTTACAATCTGGCCATCAACCCTGAAGCATTGCAGACCTTACAGGAAGAAATCGATGCCAACATACCGAGAGATGTACAGTAACTATTCTGTTGTTTTGCTGGAAAAAAAGAGAAATTGTGATTCAACAGTTGATGTATGTTCTAATGATTTCTCCTGTATTTTTTGCCTTTAGGCTCCCATTTCATACGAGGACGTGGTCGGTCTCGAGTACCTGGACCAGGTTCTTTGTGAGTCACAGCGCTTGCTTCCCACTGCACCCCGGCTTGAGAGGATGTGCAAGAAAACTGTCCAGGTACACGGCCTCACCATCCCTGAAGGAACCATGGTTGGGATTCCTGTTCACATGTTACACATGGACCCGCGCTTTTGGAGCTCACCTGAGCTTTTCAGGCCAGAGAGGTAAATGCACACTGCACTAAGCTGTCATTCTTTACATTTAAGCTGCAGTAGGTAGATTTATTTTGGTTTCACTGTGCAAAAATCCTATAATCAACTTAAGGTGGACTGAGAGAAAACTAGACATCTGCACCTCCTCTTGGCTCTGTTTTTACAGCTGAAGAAAACCTAGTCCATGATGGGAGACTTTGGCTAATCACAGGTAATTTCAGAGAGAGGGTGGTCCTATTGACCTTTTTAGGAATGCAGATGCCCACACACAATCCTTCTGTGAAAGCCTGATTTAATAGTGGAGAATCCTGCAGGGAAAGTTGCTATTCAAGCATTAGCAACAACTGCCTACACTGCAAAGCAACTCAAAATAGGAAGACAAACTTATGGAAAAGAGAGTCTAAAAGAGAGTCCGACAATAAACAAAATAAAACAAGTCAATACTGGCGAAGCATTTCAGAGATGGAGAGAAAATGGCAATTGGAGCCAGTCGGTCCACAGCTGCGGCTAGTTAAAGTACATGCTTGTGCTTGGGGGATTTGTGCTGGCCGAATTCAAGCCACTACAGCCTCTGACTGAAGGCCCGTTCCGTAAGCTGCTGCTTGCTCTCCTCCTAGAGAGGCTGTCCTCTTCCAGATTTCTGCCTCCCTCAGCTTTAATGAATCTGTTCGAATCTGTCGCTCTGCTCTCTCAGTGGTGACTTCATGTGTCATCTGTGTGCCTGTGTGTGTGTGCAGGTTCAGTAAAGACAGTGGGGAGGAGGTGAACCCGTATGTGTACATGCCGTTTGGGCTCGGTCCTCGTAACTGCGTTGGGATGCGCTATGCTCTCCTCACCTTGAAGATGGTGATTATCCGTCTCCTGCAGAGTTACACTGTGGAAACATGCAAAGACACCATGGTAAGAGTAACACTTCACACACGTACTGTCACACTTTTCTGCTGTCATGTTCCTGATTTTACATTTATTTCTTCCTTTAGATCCCGCTGGAGTTCAACTGGTTGTTCCAGCCGATAAAACCAGTAAAACTTAAGTTTGTGCGCAGACAACAGTAGTCGAAAAGGGAGAATCTCCAAATATACCTTATCTCTGAATTCCTATCAGACTCAGTTGTTATAATGTGTGGCCTCTACAGACAAGTTGGCTTTTAAATGCTGTGCATCACATACCCAGTACTCAACTATTCACTATTCACTTCTCTGCTTTTTTTTATAATTTCTCTTGAATGTTTTATTTTGCTGTATCTTGATGTTTAAAATACACAAAAGCACTTTATGCTTATCTTTTTATGGGACAGGGCAAAAATTGACTTGATAGTGTTAAAGACTTAACGGTCTTATGTTCAAATATATATATATATATCATGGATTTGTAACCGCAAAGAGACTTTACCTGTGTAATTCTTACAAGACTCCTTCACAACTCAAACAAGGGACAGTTTAGAGGATGTAAAATAAACTGATTCAAGCACCCATTCTGTGTGATCTCATTTTGCTTTTGCTTTGCCTTTGTTCATTTTAGACTTAGACTTACTTTATTCGTCCCAGAGGGAAATTCGTTTCCACTAACTGTACATTTACAGAGATCGATCACAAATATCACAGGCACAGACATATCACAGACATCACAAAATATCACAAAACATGACATGTTCATTCACAGAGGTGGACACTTTGAGTCAATGGGATCTCTTGTTCAGCGCAGCTATGGCTGCTGGGATCAGGCTCTTCCCGAGTCGAGCTTTCCTAAATTTAAGTGTTCGGTACCTGCGCCCTGAGGGTAATGGGATGAGGTTCATTTTTAAGAATTCAGTGCTAAATAAAAATAATGTTTTAATTTGAATAAACATTTTCAAGTCCAAACTTTGTTTTGTCTTCTTCTGCTTGGTGGGAAAACAGAGAGGTTAAAGGGATAGTTCGGGGTTTTTGAAGCGGGGTTGTAGGGAGTTGACCCCCGTTTGCCTTCAGACCTGCCTTAATTCTTGGTGTCATAGATTCAACAAGGTGCTGGAAACATTCCTCAGAGACTTTGGTCCATATTGACATGATGACATCACACAGTTGCTGCAGATTTGTCGGCTGCACATCCATGATGAGAATCTCCCGTTCCACCACATCCCAAAGGTGCTCTATTGGACTGAGATCTGGTGACTGTGGAGGCCATTGGAGTACAGTGAACTCATCGTCATGTTTGAGATGATGTGAGCTTTGTGACATGGTGCGTTATCCTGCTGGAAGTAGCCATCAGAAGATGGGTACACTGTGGTCATAAAGGGATGGACACGCTCAGCAACAATACTCAGGTAGGCTGTGGTGTTTAAACCATGCTCAGTTGGTACTAAGAAAATCTCCCCCACACCATTACACCAGCAGCAGCAGCCTGAAGCGTTGATACATGGCAGGATGGATCCATGCTTTCATGTTGTTTACACCAAATTCCGACCCTACCAGTTTTTCCAATTTTCTATTGTCCAGTTTTGGTGAGCCTGTGTGAACTGTAGCCTCAGTTTCCTGTTGTTAGCTGACAGGAGTGGCACCTGGTGTGGTCTTCTGCTGCTGTAGCCCATCTGCTTCAAGGTTGGACGTGTTGTTGCTTCAGAGATGGTCTTCTGCAGACCTTGGTTGTAACCAGTGGTTATTTGACTTCCTGTTGCCTTTCTTTCATCTTGAACCAGTCTGGCCATTCTCCTCTGACCTCTGGCATCAACTAGGTATTTTCACTCTGTGGATATTTCCTCTTTTTGGGACCATCCTCTGTAAACCAGTTGGTCGTGTGTGAAAGTTTCTGAAATACTCAGACCAGTCCGTCTGGCATCAACAACCATGCCACGTTCAAAGTCGCTTAAATCACCTTTCTTCCCCATTCTGATGCTCAGTTTGAACTTCAGCAGGTCATCCTCACCATGTCTATATGACGACATGCATTGAGCTGCTGCCACGTGATTGGCTGGTTAGCTATTTGTGTTAACAAGCAGTTGAACAGAGTGGATGTCTGTGCTGATTTCTTTTTATGTTGAAATGTTGTGTTGTAAATGTTATCTATAACTGTGAGATAGGTAGATAACAGTCACCATTCACCATTGGTTACTTCAATAAACACAGCGTTTCCTTCCGCAGCTCCAGATGTGGGCTCCTCCCACCTCCGGCCCACAGTTACTATCCGCGCATTTCCTCAACTACACTAGTGTGTCATCAGCTCTCCGTCGGAACAAGGTAAAGATGTTCGCCTTTACCTGGTTTTCACCGAGCACCTGGACTTTACTGGCTCTGTTTGTCACCCTGCTGCTACTGTGAGTCGTTTCTGTAGCTGTTAAAGCAGGCTGCGATGTCTGAGGCTCATTCACGATAACAACTGTTATTAAACTGTTATTAATCCCTGCTCGTGTAACAAGTGTAAATCTCTTATTCTCCATAATATAGGTATGGCATTTGGCCATACAGGTTTTTCAGAAAGCTGGGTATACCCGGACCAAGACCTCTGCCTTTTGTCGGAACAATGCTGAACATGAGAAAGGTAATGACAACAAACACAGATCTTCTATTGAGAGTTAGAGATCAGGATGTTTATAATTTAGGTTTTTTGAATTTGCTGACAGAGAATGTCTTTGTGTTTTTTACTAGAACATAAGTCAGCAGCCTGCTTTGCACTTATTAGCCCACATAACTTATCTATACACTTATCGACTGTACCAATCTAAAGCTCTGTGGTCCTTTTACCTGTCAACACGTACAACACGTTTTTATTAAAAAAAAAAAAAAAAAATCCTTTTTAGGGGTTGATTGCTTTCGACCGTGAGTGCATGGCCAAGTATGGAGATGTCTGGGGGTGAGTTTGTTGCTTCTTTCAATTTTTATTTTTTATTTATTTATTCATTTATTTTATCTCTCTCAAATATCTGCTTTATCTGCTTTCTAAAAATTAAATATTGGCTAATTTTATTATATTCATCTTTGGGCTTTAAGTAGTTATTTTAGGTGGAAAAGAGGTGGAAACTAGACAGTGCTCTTTTTTTATTAAGCCAAAAATTTATTTATTTATTTTCAAATAACAGAACATTCCCTGACATAGGGTCTCTTAAAAATTAGATATTTAAAAACAACAACAATAAGAGGTAAACAATATGCTTATTAAAAAAGAAAAAAAAAACAAAAAACACAAAACTAAGAATTACAATTGGGGGGGGGTTGCATTTTTCTTTTTTTACTAAGACAAAAGTTGTTTTTTTTATTATTATTATTTTCCAGATAGCCCATGACAAACTACACAAAACAAAACAATAAGAATTAAACAATATACTTAAGTATATAATAATTAAAAACAAAAAAAAATTAACATGAAACTATGAATTACATTGGGGGTTGCATTTTTCTTTTTTACTACGCGAAAGGTTGTTTATTTATTTATTTATTTTTTCAGCTAGCCCATGACAAACAAAGCAAAGCAAAACAATAAGAAGTAAACAATATACTTAAGTATATAAAAATGAAAAAGAAAAAAATTAAATTAGATTAACATGAAACTAAGAATTACAATTGGGGGGTTGCAATTTTTTATTATTTTTTTTTTGTTTGTTTTGTTTTTTCCAGAGAGCCCATGACAAACAAAGCAAAGCAATAAGAGGTAAACAATATGCTTAAGTAAATAATAATTAAAAAAGAAAAAAAAATTAACACATAACTGAGAATTACAATTGGGGGGTTGCATTTTTCTTTTTTTTTTACTAAGCCAAAAGTTGTTTTTTTTTAATTTTCCAGATAGCCCATGACAAACAAAGCAAAGCAAAACAATAAGATGTAAACAATATACTTAAGTATATAAAAATTACAAAGAAAAAAAATTAATTAAATAAACATGAAACTAAGAATTACCGGGGGGCTGCATTAACAACAGAGCAGGTTCAGTTATAGAGGAACACAACAGTGACATTTTGAGTGATACTCTATTATCATACAATCCATGACAACAACCCATCCTATTCAATTCAATCCCCAGATTTAGCGTAACTCGAGACCACCTTTGTTTAAAAGTTTTCAGTTTGCCATCATTCGTTCAATCACATAAACCATTTTGAGCCTCTGCGTCCACTGGATAATAGTTGGTGTCTTTCCAGTTTACCCTTATCACTTTCTTGTCAATCAGTAAGAGTTTCCTCAGTATATACCTCTGATTCATGCTATGTCTTTCTTTAGTCCTAACAAAAATGTCCGCATAATTTCTTTTCAACGCTTCTCCAGAACCTTTGAATTATTGGGCAGTCCCAAAAAATATGTGTGTAATCCCCAATTTTTCCACAATTTCTCCAACACAATGCCACTGAGGTTTCTTTCACGTATGACGAGATGATGAGGGGAGAATTAAGATATCTGATATTTTATTTTCCAATCAAATTCTTTCCATAATTCCTTCATGACAGTTTGCACACAGATCTCCCCACATAGTATCTTCAGTTATAGTATTTAATTCTAATTCTCATTTTTCCTCGATGTTCCAGGTATTTGCGAGACATCAGTTGTAAGGCTTTTATATATTTGAGATCAATGTTTTTTAGTTGGGAAGCATTTTTCTGCGATACTGAGGAAATATTCTTTGGGCTTTTGCTGTTGTATTTGGTGAAAAGGTTGTTTTAATGTAAAATGTCAGTCTGAGAAGAAAACAATAAATAAATCAAGGAGTGCAAAAAAGTTGATTATTTTCCTCTGAAATGGAATAAAGTAGAATTGCACATTAGCAGAAAACAGAAATACTAACGCAAAGTACCTCAAAAGTGTACTGAAGTACATTACTGAAGTACTTAAATGTTGCTTTCCACCTCTGGATGACACACTGTCGTCTATAGACTACAGATTCTTAAGACAGGCACAAAGTTACTTGTTCATCTGTTTGTTAAAAATCATCTTATTTTTTAATGAATGATCACTTTGGCAGCTTTGTGGTATAAAAATCTTAAGCTAGAAACCATTTTTGTGCAGGTTGTACGAGGGACGATCACCATTTTTGATGGTGTCTGACCCTGAGATCATCAAAACGGTGATGGTGAAGGAATGCTACTCTGTGTTTACCAACCGCAGGGTAAGAGACTCACCTTGTTGGACCAGAGCACATGAAAATTCAGCTCATTGTCTTTAGTGACATCATAACATTTACTGTCAACGTTCTTTCATTTATGAAACTGTGTTGGCTATTTTCAAATTACGCAACTCTGGAAAGTTTCACACATCGCCCTGCAGGGAAGGTGCAGCATATTGAGCAACACTTCCTCCTGCAATGATGCAAGAATATGAGAAGTGGAAACATAATTATGGTGTGTTAAATAAATTGATGTGCGTAGGAAGACCGTATTATGGTCAAATGATCAGGTAGAGGAGTGGCTCACATCTTGAACATATTTTGCTGTAAGGGAAGAAAAGGCAGCTAAGCATGCATCGTCAGGAGGAGGTCAGGATGTTTGGAGTTCTGTAGTTTACACAAAGCGTCAGGGGACGATTACAGCTGGAGGAGTACAGCAGGCCGTCCACATGACTTCTGGGGCAACTGGAAAAAAACAATCCTGACAAAACTTTGCACTGTTTCATAACAGAGAACTCACAAATGAGAGAAGACAAATCTATGGTTTTAGTAAAAATTGCACATACCAGCCTGGGTGTCTACAGATATAACCAAGTTAAATTTAAGACTTTCTAAGACCTTTTTAATACCACCTTATATGGAATTTAAGTCCAAACCTGCCATGGAAATACAAATTTTACATATCTCCTCTGTTTAATCTGTCTGTTAGTAAGTCTACAGTGTGACATCGGTCTATATGTTGCACATGCTACGCTAAATCAGTCTGTGAGATGACTGAAGACACCGCAGTAGCACACGTACAATACCATGGGTCTTTTGCAACCTCACTTTTGGCCGCGCTGAGTCAAGCCATACTGCGCCAATTTGTGTTTCCATTGTCAGTTTAGACGTGCCGTGTCATGCCGAGCTGCGGCAGACATGGACCTTCTCCAGAGTAGGTCCCAAAGCCGGGCCACCTGCCCTCAAGCAGGTAGCGGTGACATCTTGCCGACCATAGCCACTTTGTCCACATCGCCCAGCCCTAGCTCAGGCTTTTACTTTAAAAAACTGAGATGAGCTGGATACATGCTATGCCTTTGAGTTCTGTGTTTTGTTGACCCACAAATATTCAAATCAAATAAAGATTAGTTGTGTAGGTTAAGAAGGAGAAAAGTTAGAGGAAGCTTCCATACAAGAATCTTTAACATTCAGTGTTACTATATTCATGTTCACAGGAAAATACCGTGGGTGGACCTTTGGCTGATGCAATTACATCCGTGAAGGATGAAAGGTGGAAGAGAATACGGAGCACTTTATCACCGTGTTTCACCAGTGGACGACTGAAACAGGTCGGTTTCAAGCTCACAAACCACCTCAGCAGTCTGCTTCCTTTGACCTAGTGCAGCAATACAAATGCCTTTATGTATGTCTGCAGTATATTGCTAAATGTACTGTAAAACTTCAATTAGTTGCCCGGGCTAGTATTTGCTTAAATCAATTAATTCAACTGGTGCATATTTGGGACAGGCCTTTAAATCCTTTCACACACAACTGTTTCTCAGCACAGATGGGAAATGCAATTGATTTAAACCAACGTGAGTATTACGTTCCGACAGCTTCAGAGGAGGGAGTCACCACTTTATTTTTTCGTCTCTCTTTTACCAGGCCGGTAAATCTGAATGAATTACGGTATTACGGAATTTCTCTTAAGCCCCATTTCCACCAAACACTTTCAGTATGGTACCTGTGGAACCAACAGTAACCCTTCAGACATGGTACCTAGACTCTAGTGTTTCCACTGCAAACAGTCCTCTTAAATGTGGGCGGGGTTGTTGTCACTCACTGCTCCGTCCAGCACTCACTGTATTTCCTCCTTTATCAGTCTGCACCTTGTTTATCGTCCACAGAACGAGGCTGCACGCTGACATTTTCAGAACAAAATAAAACAGGCTGCAGTGAGAGTCTCTCTCCATGGGATATTTAAAAATAGCAGGTTTGTTCATTTAGTCCCTCTCAGGCAAGCTCAGGGGTTTAGTGTTGCTGGAGCCCACAGGAACAACGCTCCACAGCACACATCACATTATCCGGTCGAAAATAATATATATAAACACTTAAAGATCCACTCGTTACTAAAAGTGTATGTCATATAAAAACTAAAGTGATGGTCAAAGTTGTCACAGTGAAATTTAAGGTGTGCTGATGGATTCACGTCGTCACCTCATGCATTGAGTAACATAACAAGTAAACATTCCACCTTAAAAGTTGCCGGCAGACGGTCCAGTGAATTATTTTTTCTCAGACTCCAGCTGCTGTGAGAGGCAGCAAAACATCCTTTCATTTTATAGTTACAGTTTACTAATAAAACTCTCCACAGTATGAACAGTGGTTACATGAGCCTCAAAACCAGACACAACTCAGTGTTCACAGCTCCACCTTTTAGTACCAGATCTGTGTGCTAGGTACCCCAACAGAGGGGGGACCAAACATGGGGATGATACAGAACGGTTCCATTGGTACCATCCAAAACTTCTCACAGTGGAAACAGAAAAAAAAGCGTACTGAACTGAACTGAACTGTACCGTACTGCTCAGTGGAAGCGGAGCTTTTGGTGCTCATGGTTCAGTAAAATGAACTGAACGATTGAATTGTGAAGAAACCCACCGTGCTGCTTACAATACGTGCGTTTACATGGAGCCATGTATTCCTTTTGCATTCGGGTTGGAAGCCCTACCCGAATAGAAATGCTCCTTGTAAACACCTCAACCCGAATGAAAATCTAATCGGGTGCACAGGGGTGGAATATTCCTTTTCAGAACCCGAATGGAAGAATTTTTCTGTCTTGTATACACCTCCTACCCGATTCCAGCCATTCCGTTCTTTCTGCGCATGCTTGTTTCCTTGCCCTTCTGGCGCGATGACGTATACAGCGTGCATAGCAACGGGCTGAGATAGAGCAGTCGGACTCGTTGCACTCACTTTCCATTCCCCACAGCACGGTCTTCTATCTCCCTTCTTTGACCTTCTACCTCTCTTCTCCTCCTCAACAGACGAAGCATTAGCAGAACAAGGTTGTTGTCGTACTGCTGCTTCAAGAATATAAGCAAAACAAGCCAGAAAAAGGCACTAAGAACGGCGTCGTCAAGTAGGGCTGACCTTCGAATCCATTTATGGACATGCGAAGCTTCGGAGCTCAGAACTAATTTAATTCGAAGCATTCGACGACGGGGGGGATTTAAAAAAAAAAAAAAAAAATTATGGCGAAAACGTAGTTTCTTCCAACACTAGAATTAAGATAAAAATATTCACAAACGAAAAAACACTAATGGTCGGTGATAAGTAGCGTTTAACTTTTGATTGAACACTAAATTAAAACCCTCAGCGCACACTGCAGCACAATCAAACAGATGCGCAACTCAGAGCATCAGAAGTGTCTCTGACACCAGACTCAGAGCGGACCGGTGGAACTGGAAAATGCACATTTTACATCAATAAAATCTATTTTATTATTATTTTGAGTCACATTGTTGAAAGAATTTAGTCGTCTGTGTTCAAGCAGGATAATAGCAGGTCTCCATTGTGCGTCGGGCTTTCTATTTCCTTGTCGGAGATTTTTTCTTTTTTAATTACATGATATAGGCTACTGATTTGGCAAATCTGGCACTCTGCTTTCTGGGGGTTGTCAGGGCATATTTTAAAGTGCAACCACACATCTGATGACCTCTTGGACATGTCTGCCAGCTCTGAGTGCGCTCGTTGTCAGTATCGGACTGGTGGGGGTTAGTGTTGCATTTACAAGAAAAGACAGCGCCGAAGCTTCGAATTTTTTTTTCACAATCGAATCCCGTGCCATCAGACGAAGCTTCGAAGCTTCAAATTTTTTGGGTCTGCCCTGTCATCAAGCATCTTGTTATCCGGAGCGAGGACTACAGTGTTTTCTTCCGGTACACGTAACATCCACCCTGCCCCCTATCCAATCAGAAACCTTCCCTGCCCCAAACCTTGCACAGACCCAAATAAAGCCGATTAAACTGATCTCCCATGTAAACCCTCGTTCAGAATGAATATTTCTCATGTAAACTACCTGGAAAAACTTTAATTCCACATGATTTCATTCAGATTTATTTCATTCTGAATGAGAAGCCATCATGTAACCACACCTATTGTGTACCATCTCCATATTAACAAAAACTTTTAACATTTATATTTGTATGTGCGATCTAGTGGGTAGCCAGCAGCCCAGTTTTATACATCCACAGCACTTCTATAAAAAATGAACTGCTGTGTAACCAGACCAGGCCTCTAATTGAGACAGGCCTTTATTTGTCTAAATGTGTAGCTACTCCAGGCTAGTAAAAGGGGCTGGGCGTTTAATTTGGACTCTGCTTTTAATTGGAGTTTTACGGTACGTGTCTACAGTCTGAGAAAAGTTGGCATCCGTGATAGAAATAAATATGAATAGCACATTTTCAACATTAAACAAGTCTTCTTTTTTTGAAGGTTTTCCCCATTGTCGCTCGCTACGCAGACCGACTCGCTGAAAAACTTGGACGGACAAATTTGGATGAACCTGTCGATGTCAAACAGTATGTTGTTAATCTGCTTATCAAATGAACATGGTAGCTCTGAATCCATGTTAGTTCCAAACAGAGAACCACCTTTTTTCTGTCTCTGCCGCAGATTTGTGGCACCTTACAGTTTAGATGTTGTGACCAGCGCATCTTTCAGTGTTGAGGCAAATGCCATAAACGATCCAGATGACCCCATTGTTGTTCATATCAAGAAGGTTATGAACTTCAGATTATGGATCTTTTTCTTATTAAGTATGTATGCCTTTTACTTCTGTTACAGGCAGATTTCATTTAATCATATCAGTACTTTGGGATCAGGGGTATAGCAATTTTGGTGAGCAACATCTTGGTCTCCTTTCAGTGGTATTTCCCTTTGGTTCCCGTCTGTTGAACCTCCTGAAGATTGACATCATATCCACACCCAGTGTGGATTACTTCTACAACATCATCAAAAGATTTAAAGATGAGCATCGTGAAGATGAATCTGTGAGCATCTCATCTGTTTTAAGTGGAAAAAAACTTTGCAGAGAATTTAAGGGATAGCTCTCTAATGTGTGAGTCCATGTTGAATGTTCTCTGTGCTGATCTAGGTGCGAGCTGACTTCCTGCAGGTGATGGTTCAGAACGAGATACCAGAAACAGACATAAAGAGCGAACACGACCAGCCAAGCAAAGGTATGTTTGCACCTCTGAATCCTACATACTTCTTCGTTAAGAGTAAATGCACCGTATGTGTTTGGTGTGAGGATAAATGTCAAACTGTCTCAACTTGTGAAAGTGGTTTTCTAGCTGAGCTTTCTGAATTTGTTGCAGGTTTGACTGAGCACGAGATCCTTTCCCAGGCTTTCATTTTCATCTTTGGTGGCTATGAGACCACCAGCACCACTCTCACTTACATCCTTTACAATCTGGCCATCAACCCTGAAGCATTGCAGACGCTGCATGAAGAAATCGATGCCAACATACCAAAAGATGTACAGTAACTATTCTGTTGTTCTGTTGGGGAAAAAGTATTGTTTTAATCCTCATCTTTCTGTTTGATTCCTCCTTTACTTTTTGCCTTTAGGCTCCCATTTCATACGAGGACGTGGTCGGTCTCGAGTACCTGGACCAGGTTCTTTGTGAGTCACAGCGCTTGCTTCCCACTGCACCCCGGCTTGAGAGGATGTGCAAGAAAACTGTCCAGGTACACGGCCTCACCATCCCTGAAGGAACCATGGTTGGGATTCCTGTGCACATGTTACACATGGACCCGCGCTTTTGGAGCTCACCTGAGCTTTTCAGGCCAGAGAGGTAAATGCACACTGCACTAAGCTGTCATTCTTTACATTTAAGCTGCAGTAGGTAGATTTATTTTGGTTTCACTGTGCAAAAATCCTATAATCAACTTAAAGTGGACTGAGAGAAAACTAGACATCTGCACCTCCTCTTGGCTCTGTTTTTATAGTTGGGGTAGCTAATCCCAGACGCAACCTGCCGTTGCGCTCTTGAAAGCAAGCACAGATAAAAGGCACAAGACCTCGCATTTTCCAGGGGGTTATAGATGCGGCATGTGTACGGCCCCTAATTTCCAGGGCTGGTACCTGGTGTTATTCCACAGGCTAGTTAATAACATGTCGGGCAGGAAATCCAAAGTGTGGGATCATTTTGAGAAGGTGAAGGACGAACCCAAGGTGATATGTAAACTCATCTTCATTGNGACTACAAACATGACGTATCATCTGAAACATGGAAGTAGCTACATGCCCATTAGCCCACAGCGTCATTAACAGGCGGCTCGCTCAGTGTGTGACGTGCACTTGTAGATAAAATATAGGCCTATATTAATGAAGGTTCATTAGTACGGTTTTGTATTTCTCTGTAATGTAGCACAGTGTTAACAATGTTACTGATACTATTCTTTCTCACACCTTCAACTCAAACCACCAAAATATATCATTTAATAATTCAATTAATATCGTAAACATGCGGACGACTAGTCGACTAATGGACCTAAATGATGACTATTGGTTGACTAGGAGGGGGCAGCCCTACTTGCATTATGTTTTGATAGGCTGAATCAAATCCCTGTAAACATCATTATTTTGCCGAGTTTTCTTGTTACACAGAGTTTCAGTCTTTTGAAACTTTTTCCCCATTTTCATAATACGACGTTATCCCATAGTAAACAGTGGCCACAAGTGACATAACAGGATAATGGTAAATGCTAAAATGTAGTTTAACAGTAGCACAAGCAGATGACATGCAACAAGTCAGCTGTCACACTAACTCGGTGATGAAAAATACACAGTGATATCTATTCAGTGTTCAGGCCCACTCCTCTGGTGACTAGATGCTTATTGCAGTTGCAAATTGCGATAATGTGCAGCCCTATGCCAGTGCCTTTGTGCCTGACTTGCACACAATAATACCGTGTGGGATCATGATGGCTTTTACTGATGTGAGTTTGTTGTTCTCTCATGACGTCATGATCTTATCTGTATCTGTGTGCCCATCTGTATGTGCAGGTTCAGTAAAGACAGCGGGGAGGAGGTGAACCCCTACACCTACATGCCGTTCGGTCTCGGCCCTCGTAACTGTGTTGGGATGCGCTACGCTCTCCTCACCATGAAGATGGTTCTTGTCCGTCTCCTGCAGAGTTACACTGTGGAAACATGCAAAGACGCCGTGGTAGGAAATAGCACTCCACCCACACTCATACTGTCACACTCTTCTGCTGTCATGTACCTGATTTTACATCTGTTTCTTCCTTTAGATCCCGCTGGAGTTTGACTGGAAGTTCCAGCCGATGAAGCCAGTAAAACTCCAGTTTGCTCGCAGACAACAGTAGTTAAAAAGGAAGCATCTCAGAGTACACCTTAATTATGAATTCCTATTGAAATCACTATTTTGTAGTTGTTTTAATGTGTTGTAACTACTGACAGGATGGCAGAGGTGGGGGATGACATGACTCAAGTGACTGATAAAACACTCCACTTGACTTTGACTTGGTATCCATGACTTGAGACTTGAGTTTGACCTGCTCGGCTCACGTTTGGGGACTTTGACAGTGTGTTATTATCTCCCCTGCTCTCTGACAGCAGCAGGTATGTTATGTGAGTGGTGTGTCGTTCATCCTGACCAGAGGGCTCGGAGCAGGAGAGGAAGTATTTAAATTGTTTTATCAGTTGTCAGTCAGTCGAGTCAGTTCATAGGAGGACCCAAATGCAGGCCAACAGGCAGAGTCTTTAACAAAACGCGAGCTTTAATGTAGCTGATGGAAAACATCCAGCACAGGCAGGCAACTAAAAGTCCAAATGAAAGCAGAACAAAAAAACAAACTGAACAGGGATGAGCACAGGAAAAACGCAGGGATGAAGGCAGGAACGACCAGAGAGTGCACTCAGGAAGAACACAGGATCAACACAGAAAACTAATCACAAGAACGAGACACAGCTGGAGTAGGAGGACACAACCAGGGTGGAGCAAACAAGACTACTACAGAACAGGTGTGAAGGGAAGACTCTGGGAACAGGGAAGGACTAACGAGCCAGGTGTGTCAGAAAACCGGCGGGAAAGCACACAAAGACAGGAAACAAAACCAGACACGACACATGAGGAGAGAATCTACAGAATAAAACAGGAAGCAGATTAAACATGAACGAACAACATGAACCAAGGAACACGAACAGAAACCTCTTCGACAAAGTCTATAGGATAACAGAATAAGAACAAACCCAGGATCAGGACACCAGTAAAAGCAACTGCAAAATCTTAATTTGTTAAATAACCAGTAACTGAAGCTGTCAGATAAAAGCAGTGGAGTAAAGGTTTACGGTGACATGACAAGAAAAGATTTGTACTGACAGTATTTGAGCTCGTGTGTTCGGTTACATTCCACCACTGAGTGCAGCTTATGTTACATTATCTTTATGAGTTTGTGAGCGTGACTTGACTCGTGATATGCTTGACTTATAGCAAGGACTTTAGACATGCTTATGACATCCACATGTGTGACTTACTCCCACCTCTGCAGGATGGCAAGTTTGCACAGAAAGTATTTATACTACCTAAACTCATAGACTTAGCATTTAAAGGGACAGTTCACCCTAAAATAAAAAATATATATGTAATTTTCCTCTTACCTGTAGTGCTGTTTATCAGTCCAGATTGTTTTGGTGTGAGTTGCTGAGTGTTGGAGATATTGGCCATAGTCTGTCTGCCTGCCTTTGCTTTAACATAATAGAACCAGATGGCACTCGGCTTGTGGTGCTAAAAGCATCAAAAAATACACTTGGAAAAACGCAGCAATGTCTCTTTCCAGAAGTCGTGACCTGGTTACCCAATAATCCACAGACCTTGTTGTGAGCAGTTATACGTAGGAAGTTACATCCGCTAACCGAATCAATGTACAGCAGGAGTCCTGCATCTACTCATGGATGAGAGGAAAACATGTATTTTTGATTTGGGGGTGAACTGTCCTTTTAAAACTCAACGCACCTTTGCTACTGAAACATACTCATAAGAGACCTATTTGTAAGGGGCAGATTATAGAATATAAAACAACTTGATTCAAGCACCTATTTAGTTTAATTTTGCATTAGCTCTGCATCAGTGTAGAGGATTTTAATGCAAAAGTCTGTTAATTGACACACTTAACTGCACAAGCTTTGTAATCTAACAAAATTACAACCCACTTCATTGTCTGTCGCTGTATTATTGATGGGTATTTGTCTCCCCCTAGTGGCTGGTTTAGCTTCATCTGAAACACTCTGGTGACCAACTTTAATGAGTTTTAGTTTAACTTTTAAGACTTTACCTCTCATTATTTTAAAAAAGAATGTCAAAATGGGATGTCAGATGCAAACATTTTTATCTAGTAGATGATTCACACTCAATTTTGAGTCCAATCAAGCTGCATGTTTCTGTAATGCAGCCCTAACAAACCAAAGTACCTGCAAAAACCACATGGACACTCAGAGTACATACAGACTTCACTTATAACGAGTCAGGGCCAAGAATCAAACTCACTGTCTCACTGAGAGCGTGCATATAGAGAGGGGATTTGTTCTGTGGCCAACCTAAAATACAGTCTGAAACAGGGGTGTTAAACTCATTTTAGTTCACGGGCCACATAGAGCCCAATGTGATCTCAAAGCAAAGTCATCCAGTGGGCCGGATTGGACCCTTTGGTGGGCCGGTTCTGGCCCCCGCTCCGTAAAAGTTTCTCCATGTTCACTAAGGTTAAATGTTATCATCTGAAGTATACAAAACATGAAATAACTGATGTTAGGGCAGAGACTGCGCATTACAAAGAGGAGGTACATTTCTGGCAGACTGAAAGGATGTCTACCTCACTATAACTTTTGTAGGAAAAGTAGAAACTTCTCCATATCCTCCAAGGTTAGCTTTGATATGTTGTAAAATGAAATTCATCATACACCAAGCTGAATCATTTTCCTATAAATCACACATATGCTGGTGTCATGAGAAATGTCACCGTGTGTGTCTTTGCTTTAACACTGCTTCTGTTTTGTGTTAAAAAACAAAGTCCTGAAAATATTTTTTTTGTACCAGCCATCAGTTGAAATGTGCAAAAATTATCTGCCGTGTCTACTACCTACTATCTGCTACCATCTATAGTATTTCCAAAATAAAACACTTGACGGTAAGGCAGAGGGTCTGCATTTTATATACAGAGGAGAAACGTTTTGTAGCAGGTTGAAAATCCCTCAGAATTATTTGCTAGAATCTTATAAATAAAATCAGAATAAAATACTTGATGTTTGGGCAGAGCCTGTGCATTTTAGAGAAGAGATGTGTTTCGAAACTTCTCCATATTAACCAAATTTACTAGTACACAGAAAATAAAATACTTGACAGTAGGTCAGGGCCTGTGTATTAGAGATGAGAGTGGATATGGGACCAAAAATGCAGTCTGAAAGAATGCACATGTTAAGTTTTGGACTGATTGAACCAACTAGATACAGTGTGTTGCTTAGAAAGCTTTACAGGTGCTCTGCTTTACCTCTGGATAGTTTTATGCTCAGCTAACCTGGCCGTCACCTTTGTATTTAATGAACAAATATAACATTTGTATTGATGTTCTCGTGTAACTCTCTGCAAGAATGCAAATAGGCGTATTTCCAACAAAAAGTGCACTCTAAGTGGCATCTAACCAATAAGGATGTCTTGTGTTATTCGGCAGTTAGGGATCTGCTGCTGAAGCATCTGCCAACACCCCAACATATTTCCTGTGCAGGTGCAACTAAACTGCATGTGACAGGAAAAAAACAACAATAAACAAAATATACAAAACAGGGTTCATTAATCACCCAAATGCATTTTTCTGGGTTGAAATAAAGAGCAGCAGCACCAATATCAAAACAGACAACAAGAGCAGGAGACACAGATTTTATACTTTTCTTTAATAACTTTACAACAGGGTACAAATCGGGTCCACTCCTCTGAAGGCTTTGTGAGAGTTCACTGTAAAACAGCTGAAGTCAGTTTTTTGAAGAGGGGTATAAATGACTAAGGTTTCCCAATCTACTTTCACAGCTCACACAAAGTGGTGCAAATGTCCCATAAAATAATCATCTGACAGGAAACTCACTATTATAATGATAGAACAACCACATTTACTCAAACAAATGAAGGTTTAATAAAAAAAAAAAAAAAGAGAGACATTCATTATGAAATCAGGACACGTGATGAAAATTCAATGGCTGTTTAAAAAAAGAGTGAAGTTATCTTTGGCCTCAGTAATGGTGCTATGTGGAACTTTAAATGTCAAGATACCAACATAAAGCAACTATTTTTTCTCCTGGTGGATGACTAGTGTTTGATGACATATTGTTTGTCAATAGACAGAAATATCCTTGAAAGTTATGAACGTTAAGGGAAACCTCAGTGTCTGTGTGGAGAAGCACAGACAGGTAACAGTACAGATAACAGCCAGCAGAGGGCGCCGACAAGAGCGGTAAGTGTGTGTGTCAGTGCATTAAAAATTAACTTTAACATTTAAATGAATTCATAATACACCAAGCTGAATCACTCCAGATCACAAATATGCTGGTGTCATGAGAAATGTCACCGTGTGTGTGTGTGTGTCTTTGCTTTAACACTGCTTCTGTTTTGTATTAAAAAAAGTCCTGAAAATATTTTTTTACCAGCAACTGAAATGTTACTGAAAACATCTGAAATTAAAAGACAAAAAGTGTTCATAGAAATCGTATCTCTTGCAGATGAGGCAACATTTTGAAAAACAAAAACCTTGGAGACGCTGCTACATTTGTTCTATTATGCCGTGTGTGTATGTGTGTGTGTTTCATGTCGGGAAATTTGGCCCAGTTGGCAGCTTGTGGATAACCATTAATAATACAAGTGTTCACACACACACACACACACACACACACACACACACACGCACGCACTCTCACACATTCATGCACAGACAGGAAAACAAAAGAGCAGCACAGGCTCACATCCAAACAGGTTGTAAACAAAAGCTCTTTTTTGTTGTTGTTGTTATCAAAGAGAAGAGTATAAAACTGCACTGCCACAGTGCGTACTTGAAAAGCTCTCTGGAGTGACTACTGCATTAGAAAAAAATCAACGACAAACGCAAACATAAAACGTGGGATAAAAAGTTAAAAGGGTTATATTACAAAGCCTTTTGGAGTCCTGAGTTTATCCAACATAAACAAAACAGACAAAAAGGCCAGAGTCCATATATCATAGAAATATATTAAAAACAATTTTTTTCCAGACAACATTTGACAGTTTTCCAGCTTGGAGTCCTCGGACTTCCAGCAATTCAGCTAAAATCGACTGAGTATGTTTCAACACATCCATTGCTCTTGTTTAGGACAATACACATGATGCAGCATTCGTGTTGTTGTTGTTGACAGCAGAAATGAAAGAAATGAGGTGCTCATCATTTGGGAAAAGCAGCATCTTCTTATAGTATGTGATGATTTCAGTGAGTTATTCACACATCAAATGAAAGTATAAACGCTTGAAATAAAACCAAGGAAATGTGCATTGCCCCGAACTGGACACAGATGTGAGGACAGTGACTGTCAGGAGGCTGATGGCAGGTCAGTTGGAGAGGGTTTCACTTCCTGTTTAAGACACACTCTTCCTCAAACTCCCTTCCTCCGTGCCACCCGCCTGACGTCTTCAGACATTTATGCAGATTACAAACCGCTGTGGGCTGACATCATGTCCGTAATGTAAACTTGAACCTTGAATTACCTCTGGTAAAGACATTTTGCTCACAGAGATGAGCACACTGGGAGCAGTCCAGCACGACCACAGTCCTCTGCTGTTGGCCACTGGAACACTTGTGGGTTAAGTACCTTGCTCAAAGGCACCTTGGCAGTTGCTACTGAGAAATAATTCACTCTCCAGGAATTTCTAGTAACAAAAATCTCTACGTCACTGCCCAAACCTCAGTCTAAAATTATTTTACGAGAAAAAACATTATATTACTGTTGCTTTTTATAATCGTTACATTAAAGGCTGATATAATTTATGGGTTCAGTTTTCTCTAATCACATGTGGTTATCCCGTGATGGGCAGGTAGGATTTTGGGAGCTGCTACAGGTACCTGACAACTGCTGATACAGATTTGACATCAAAAAGGAACAAAGAGAGAAACTAGGGGAGCAGAAGTTACCTGGAACTGAACCCATCGGAGGTGTGTTTGGGGGTTTCACCCACACTGGTTCTGGATCAGCGTGTCTGTGTCGATGTGGTGTTTGAGGAAAGTGAAACTGATTGTAGTTCTGCTGTGAGAGAAACATTACAAAAGGCTGAGGTCCTGACGCACACACAGCATGTTGAGGCAAAGTGTATCGATTCCCAACTCCACCTGCTGCTTTCACAATTTTACCAGCCAAATATTTCAGGATGTGTTAACGACAGACGGCTGCAGTGTGAAAACATTTACCAGCCACAGCTCAAATTACACCAGCGCTTGGTTAGCGGTAATTTAAAACTATAATGACGAAATGTTCCAGTGTAGAAATGTTTGAATTTGCATCTGTTTCTCCTCACATGGCGTCAGACTGCAGTGTTGAGAACACAGACTGTATATGAAGATGCACAAAGTATCGCCACTTCCTCCCACTGTACTAAAATAGAGTATCATAAGACCGGTTGCACAAACACCTTAAGTTTTCTTCTTAGGATTGACACATTTTCTCCTTAGCTGAGGGACTTCCACAGCTGCACAGAATCCCTTAAAAGGTCTCCTTAGTTAAGGAAAAACATTAAATCCTTTAACAGCAGAAAAAGTTTTGATCGAGACTGTTTGTTTGCTTGGTCTCTTGTGCTTGTGATGCCTGTTATCATCTCACAAAGTTGGCTTATAGTTAGTGAAATAATGGCACACAAAAAGAAGACAAGAAAACCATGTTGGTCAGAGGAGGAAAAGATTAAACGTCTGGAGGTATACAATCATGGTAAGCACAAACTACCAAGTAAATTTGACCCCAAATACTAGAAAACAGAAAACACCTATAGGAAGACACAACGAAAATCAATTCAGTCAAATTTAAAGTGTGAAATCAAAAGCGTACCCACTGGGTTCTCCTGGTCACTTAACACTCTTATCAGGGTGTGTGTGTTTTTTTCCTTCATCAACATAAACTTGGTCATGTTGCAGTTAAAACAGAGTCAGACCTCATTTACTTTTTTTAAACCTTGATTTGGTCGCTAAGGTCTTTTGTGCAAAGGTCTACCGATTCCTTAAGTACAAGTCCAAGAAATAGAAAAAATACTGAAGTGAATACTTTAAGGAAACCTTACGGGTGTTTTGTGCAACTGATTTTATTTTGAGGAAACCTTAACTAGGACTTAAAGGAAAATCTTAACTAAGGACGTTATGTGCAACTGGCCCCTGGCCCTCTGGATCTGAGACTCTGAAGCCAATCTGAAAATGTGACCAAACTATGCAACAACAAAGATGCCATTGGGGCCCCATAGACTTATATTGGGAAAGAGACGTCTGTAACTCAATGGACACATTTTTTTTCATTGTCACAACCCCCACAAAATGACTCGTTTAACTAGCAGGATTTGAACCATTCAGTCCGATTAACATTTTGAAAGTCATGTGATTGAATCATTTTATCTGCGTCCAAATTAGCGGAGGGCTAACATGTAATTTAGCCACTTCATGGGCCCAACGATACAGAAGATGCGGGTAATTTTACACCCAGGAAGTAGAACTATATTGGCTTCATGCGTCACTGAGCAATTTTCATGGGCATAAACGAGTCCCTGCCTCCAACGCTGTATCCAGTTCCCTTTATACATCTATTAAAATATACCTGACAAGAGCGCTGCCATCTTGTGCCTTTGGAGCCAAATTCTGCACAGTAGCAACAGGAAGTGAAGCCACAATATCAAGTTCACAAATCTGACTGCAAGCACATCGATTAACACATACAGCTATCAACTGTGACGTCACACCCCTTTTTCCTTGCATCGAATTACAAATAAAAACCCAACTAATCAGAAAAATGAACACGAGTTATAAGAACTATTCCTGTAATGACAGAAGCCATCTTGAAAAACTTATTTATACCCATATCTCATCTACTAACGTGGAGGGGGCGGGGTTTATGACCTAAACTGTAGCTGTCACGCCATCCTTCATATACAGT